ACTTGGATTTCCAAGTACAAACTTAGCCAAAACTTGGATTTCCAAGTACAACCTTAGCCAAAACTTGGATTTCCAAGTACAACCTTAGCCAAAACTTGGATGACGACTTTTTATTCCAAGACATTGCCATGAGTTCGAAATTGACCAAAACTTGAACAAAAACTTGATTTTCTAAAAGATTTGTTTAAAACTTTTAAACTTGGCTTTGTTGCAAGAAAACTTGAGTTTGTTATGACTTTTTTTCCTAGACTAAAAATGAGCGATTTAAATAATCTGATAGAAAGATACTCAACTTTAGATCAATAATGTTCACTTTTACTTCTTTGCGCTCTGATAATCTCCAAGAACATTTTTCAGAAAGTCAACTAAGATTTATTGGTTTTTAAAACAAATCTAAAATTTACATTTCATGATTTAGGCTGTTTGTCATCCATTGAAGGCCAAAGTGATCTGCACCTATAGAAGATCCAAGATTGCTGTAGCTATCATTGCTCTGGTCTCTATACTTTATAATATGCCCAGATATTGGGAGGTCACCAGTCAAAAAATCAAGGCAGAGGATAAATATAGGTTAAGGTTTTTTAACATTTTTTTTTTAATTTTAATTTTTTAAAGATCATTATTCTTGTTATCTACTTTTACTCCTTCATTCTCTATTTTCTTCTTCTGTTGAATCTTCCTTCCGGCAATTTGAAAAAAAGAAAAAAATCATGAACTGGAAGGAAATTTTCCAGCTCATCAGGGTTTCGTAAAATAAACTTTTTTACTCCAAATTCAAGGAATTAGACTAAGACTATCAGGGTACCCTCTCTATTACCAAGGCTAGCTTGTATTAAACAAGTAAAGATAGTTGAGACATATTTCACGACAAATTAAAATATACTCATTGCACAGTGGTTGGCGTTTATATTAATACAATGAAGACGACTTTCATTTTGAAGTTTTGAAGATTAAAAGTAAACACAGAGAAGATGTTAATTGACAAATGACAGCTACTTTTTGTTTATGTGTATCCATCTTTAAAATCGTGGTAGAAATCAAAATTTAAATCGATCAAGTTGTCTTCATTGTTTTGAATTTAATTTTGTAATCGTAACTCTTCTTTCTAAAGTGTCATTAAGAAGAATGAAACTCATTATGAGTTTGTAATCATGCCAGTAATATCGCATGAATTTGATCTTTTACTTAAGTCTGGATTGAAGAGAATTAATTATCGTTGTTAACAACATAACAATATCGTCTTAAAAACTTGACAGTCCCTATCTCTAATTTTGTTGTTGAAAGATCCCTGTTTAATTACTAGCTTTCTTCAATAGAATAATTTTTTTTCAAATTGAACGATCACTTAACCCTATTTCGATTTCCGACTGAGGGGGGGGGGGG